CTCATCTGTGAAATGGAACTGACCCACCTCTGGTAACACAACTCTATTTTCTGTCACTATAGATTTGCCTAACTCTGGACATTTCACATTAATGGAATCATACAATAGATGGCCTTCTGTGTCTGGTTTCTTTCACTTAGCATAATGTTTTCAAGATTCATCCATCTTGTGACATGTGTCAGTAATTCAACCCCTTTTATGACCGAATAATTTTCCATTGTATGGATATGCCACCTGAAATTTATCCATTCATCCATTGATGGATATTTGGGTTATCTCTACTTTTTGGTTATTATGAATAATGCTGCTATGTACATTCATGTACACATTCTTAGGTGAACATTCATTTTCAATTCTCTTGGGTATATGTCTAGGAGTGATATTCCTGAGTCCTATGGTAACTCTGTGAATAACTGTTTTCCAAAGTGGCTGCACCAATTTACATACCTAATGGCAACGTATGAGAGTTCCAATTTCTCCACATCCTGGACACCTTTTTTTGTCAGTCTTTTTGATTACAGCAGCCCTAGTGGGTGTGAATCTCATTGTGGTTTTGATTTTCCTTTCCCTAGTAAGCAGAGATTTCCCCCCTTCCTTCCCACAGCTCCCTTTTGGCCTCTCTCTTGATTTTAGATTCATGTGAATAGGTAAGACACTGGGGAGCCCCAAAACAGAAGGTCTGTACCTTCAGGAAGCTTCTATCAAGCATTTTGTATTTTGATAAGTAGGACATTGAACAGAGGGAATCTGAGGCATTTTTTCAGGAGAAGATACACCAAGGATGAGGTACACCACTTGGAATGGAGTTTGCTTTGGTTTGGGGATTTTCTTTTCTTTTTGATTTATTTATTTATTTTAGAGAGGGGGGGGTGCAAATAGGGGTGAGAGGGAGAGAGGGAGAATCCCAAGCCGACTCCACGCTGAATGCTGAGCCTGTCGCAGGGCTCAATCCCATGACCCCGAGATCATGACCTGAGCCAAAACCAAGAGTTGGATGCTCAACCAACTGAGCCACCGAGGCGCCCCGGTTTGGGGACTTTTCCAGAGCTTTGGGGTCTGGCTGGAACAGGGTCTCCCTTCCTTACCAGCTGTGCAGGCTCAGGGAAGTTGCTTAATGTCACCGATGCCTTGGCTCCCTCATCTGGAAAATGGGACTAAGCATCCCTAACTTATCTAGTTGTGGGGCACAATCTTTCCACCTCCAACGATGTCTGTAGGACTGGAACCTTGGATTCATGGGCAGGATGTACCCTCCTTCACCTGGGATACTGGGGAGAAGCTCTTCGTTCAGAATGGCTCAGTGCCTCAGGAGACAGAGGTCTGATTTCAGTTCCTGGTTTCATCTTTAACCAGCCCTTGGTCAAGTCCCTGTACGTGTTTGAGCCTCAGTTTCCTCCTCTGTCCAAACTGTACCTCTGTTATAGGGTAGTTAAGACATTTCAACATAATAATGCATGTAAAGGGCCTAGCTGAGTGCTTTACACCGAGGACATGCTCAGAAATGTGAGCTACCATCACCAGCATCACGGACTGCAGGCCTACTATGTGCCTGGCACTCTGGTGGGGGGGAGGCACAGAGGCAAAAACAAAGCACGGGTCCCATTCCCAAGGATTTTGGAGTTTCCTTGAATATCTGACTTCAGACGCTTTGCTCTTGCCACTCTGCCATTTGAGTGGGGCCTTAAAGGTAGGTCAGATTTGAGCGGGGAGTGGCGGGGGGGGGGGGGGGGCCTTGTGGATGTGGAGCCAGGGAAGCAAAGCCTGGGAAATGGGGGCATGTAGCACATGAATGGAAAATTGCGAGTATTTTAGTTTGGTTCCACTGGGGCCTCTCTGGTCCATCTCTCACAGATCTTAGCTAAAATATATTAGGTACCTACTGTGCACCTCTCTGAGGACTTTGTAGCCAATACCTTATCGAATCTACATGGTAAATAAAAAGGTCACTTTTGCCATCCCCATTTCTTTTTTTTTTAATATTTTATTTATTCATTTGAGAGAGAGCACAAGCAGGGGGAGCGGCAGGCAGAGGGAGAGGGAGAAGCAGGCTCCCCACTGAGCAAGGAGCCAATGTGGGGCTCAATCCCAGGACCCCAAGATCATGACCTGAGCCGAAGGCAGACGCTTAACCGTCTGAGCCACCCAGGCATCCCATGTCATCCCCATTTCAAAGACGAAGAAAGTGAGGCTCAGAGAAGTCTGGCAACCTGACCAAGAGCACAGGCTAGGAATGGATGGGCCAGGAATTCAAGTTCGGGGAGACAGACTACAGATGTGCCCCACAGGAATTAATCCGTTCCCAGGCAGTGAAACTAAAGCCAGCCCCAGCAGCCAGAAACTCAACCACAGAGAGCTGGCTCATGGCCCCCTTGCTGGCTCCCTTCTTTCGTCTCAGCCCCACCCTGCCACCCCCATTTCCCTTCCTGGCCCTGGGGCTCTGCTCCTTCCCCAAACCTGCTCAGCCACAATTCCTTCCAGGATCCCTCATCTGTAAAATGGGGATAATAACAGTGCCTGTCCCAGAGGGGTGTTGTAAGGGTCATTACCACCACCATTTCAATAGTGTCTCGGAGTCCTGTGAAATCAGCCAAGTAGAAGCCTTGTCCGTACTTGATAGTTGAGACGGGGAGCAGCAGCCTGCCCAGGGTTGCTCAGCTACGAAGTGGAGAGTGGGACTTGAATCGGAACCTGCTGGCCACAAAACAGAGCTTTGTTTGTTGAGTCAGAGCACACTAAGCATGGAAAGAGGGCAAGAAGCACTCTGACTGGGAGAGAGGAGGCAGGCAGGGAAGGCTTCCTGGAGGAGGTGAGGTTTTTAAACTGGACCTTGAAGAACAGTGAAATATGTAGACTGGACTGAAGGGGTCTGTGTACTGGAGATAAGGCCAGAAATGTAACCACAGCTATTTCTTGAGGTTCTTTAGGAACCAGGCTGTGTGCTGACAGCTGTACATTATCTCATGAGATTTCTGCACAATCCTATGAGGTGGGTGTTAATAATGTGAGAAAAGTGAGGCTCAGAGAGTTTATAAAACTTGTCTGGGGTCACACACTTGGTTAAGTGACTGGGTCTGGATTTGAACACAGTGCTGTCTGCTACAAAGTCTGGGCTCTTTTTTTTTTTTTTTTAAGATTTTATTTATTTATTTGAGAGAGAGAGTGTGAGAGAGAGCATGAGAGGGGAGAGGGTCAGAGGGAGAAGCAGACTCCCCACTGAGCAGGGAGCCTGATCTGGAACTCGATCCTGGGACTCCAGGATCATGACCTGAGCTGAAGGCAGTCGCTTAACCAACTGAGCCACCCAAGGCGCCCAAAGTCTGGGCTCTTGATCACCGTGCATTAGTGCCACCTCATCCTCGAGATCTGAGGATAAGGACAGGGTGTGAAGCTGGGGACTGACTCTGGAGGGTTTTGAATGCCAGCCTCAGCCCCGCATAGAAATCATGCAGCACCAGGCAGGAATCGGCAGACTTGGAATTCAGCCTCTGGCAACTCCACCACTCGCTAGCTAAGGTCACTTCTTGGAGCCTCAGCATCTCTAAGCTGGAGAGACTGGGAATGTAAATGGATTATTGGTAATGAAGGTTTTGAATGAGGGAGGGAGGCTCTTGTGACAAAAGGATTGCTTAGGAAAAACATGGAGATGTTCAAATATTTACCGAGTGTGGGGCTCTGGGAATGTCACTAAGAACAAGACAGAGCTCTGCACTCTGGACCCCCAGCCCCCACCCAGGCCTGCACATGGCAGGCACAGCTTGGGAGGGTGGGAGAGAAATCTTTTATTGGAACAAACAAGGGCTCAGACGCTGGCCTGTCCAGATTGGACTGCTACTTCTCAAGTCAGTGAATCTGTGTGATCTTGGGCAAGTTACCTAGCCTTTCTGTCTCTCCATCTTTACCACGAAGACCATCATGCCTCCTCCCGGGATTGTTGGATTCAATGAAATAAAACAACTCATGCAATGACCTAGCAGGGTGCTTGGCATACTGTAGGCGCTCAGCCGATGTTAATTAGCATCCTCCTATGAAGAGGTAAAAATATAAGGCTCCACCCATCGCCCGCCTGCCAAGAAAGAAAACAGGTTCCTGGCTTTCGTTTTGGCGGGGCAGAAAAGGGATATAAAAGCGTATATGCTAAGTAAGCAAGCATGCAAAGTAACAAAAGGCCTTTGGCCTGGGTAATGTGCTGCTGGGTCTGGGCTCAGGACAGGACTCCGTGCCCAAATTCCCCACCATCCCAGGGAATCCGGGCCCATTCCTCAGCGGGCCCGGCGCTGCTCCGGCTGCTGCCGCACGGTACGGGAACCACCGTCCCAGCCTGTTTGGCGGGCTGCTAGGGCCGGCGGGCGCCGGGCGACGGGAGGTGTGGCGTCCCCTTTAAGCAGCGAAGCTCGTGTTGCAATCGCCGCCTTGGGGACCTGTCCTTTCCGGGGGGTGGAGCCTGTGCCTGTAGCGGCGGCCAACCAAAGTGCGGCATTTTCCGCGGGAGATCCGAATTTCGCGGCACGCAGTTTGGCGCTAAAAAAAAAAAAAAAAGAAGAAGAAGAAGGGAAAAAAGAGGCAGAGAAAGGCTTGGGGACCAGAGAGCCAGGCGAGAGGGAGTCGGTGCAATCGGCCCCCCTTCCCCATCTGAGCGCATCGCCTCTCCTTCGAGCCCCCAGCGACCCCAGAGACCCCTGCCGGGAGCCAGCCAGACCCTAAGCGCCCGGCCTTTCGGGGGCGCGGGGCCGCCCAGGGTCGCCGCCGCCCTCGGGGCGGGACAGTCCCTGGCCGTGCCGCCGCCGCCGCGGGGCGATCTCCAAGCGGGGATCTCCAAGCGCTGCTCGGCTCGGCGGCGGGCCAGGAGGGGAGGGTCCGGCCTTGCCCCGCAGGCGTCCATTGGTGGCTTCCCCCGGGCCTCCGCGCCATGCCTCCGGCCGTGTGAGCCTCCGCGGGCTCCGGAGCCCGCAGGTGCCCGCGGGCGCGCCAAGCCCGGTTGGGGAGGGGGCGCTGCGCTCGCCATGCTGCGAGGGCCCCGGGCCCTGGCTCCAGGCGCCGGGCCGCCCTCGAAGGGACTGCCGGCGATGAGCCCTACCGAGCTGTGGCCGCCCGGCCTCAGCAGCCCCCAGCTCTGCCCGGCCACCGCCACCTACTACACCTCGCTGTACCCGCAGACTGTGCCTCCCACTGCGGCGCCCGGCACCTGCCTCGACGCCACCCCCCACGGACCGGAGGGCCAAGCTGTGCGATGCGTGCCGGCTGGCCGGCTGCCGGTAATGCTGGGGACCTCCCCACCGCCGCCCACCGCTTCTCCCTGTGCTTTTGCGGGTGTGGGAAAGGAGGGAGGGGCGCCTGGGACCCAGTTTGAACGAGACAGGTCGAGTTGGGGAGGGAAAAGAGAGCTTTCAACTTCCAGAACAACCCATTGCCCTGCATATCTGAGTTGAAGAGCCCTTCGATTTCGGACTTGGGATGAAATAACCTCATCCATTGGAGTGGAGTGGAATGAGCACTGGATTGGGAGTGCGGAGACTCAGCCCACTACCCCCAGTGCACCGTGTGACCTTGAGGAAGTCCACGGAGCCGACATTGCCACCATTCCTTCATTCTTTCATTCATTGTTTGGTCCAGAAACTGGTACTGGGCATCTGCTATGGTCCAGGTATAGAGATTGGTCTAGGCATACAGTGGCGACTTTAAAACGGGGAGGTGGGGGAAGCAGGGGTGGGGTATCTCTTAGGTCCAGTCTGGCTTGGACAGACTCTAAATCTCCCGTACAACCAACTCTTTCCCAGTTAACTGCCCTGTGTCTCTCCCAGGCCCAGTCTTCCCTCCCAGACAGCCAGTAGCAAGTGCAAATTGGGGGCAGCCCCCTGGGTTTCCTATTCAGATGGACTTTTCCTTCTCAAGCCCCCAGGCCATTGCCAGGGAGGGCCCAAAGTGTGGTGACACCAGGTACAGGGTGTGTTTTGTGGGAGTGGAATTCCTGGAGCCCTTGAGAATGGAAACAACCATAGGGTAGGGGTGGGTGGGGTGAGAAATGCCCTTGGGGAATTGGGTGGTGGGTGGGGAGCCTGGTTTCTGGTCCTGACTGGCACTAATTCAGTGTGTCCCTGGACAAGTCTTGGCCCCAGTCTGGGCTTACATTTCCTTTTCTTGAAAAATGCATGTGTCCATGGGGTAGTTGGGCTAACTCATCTCAGGTCAGCTCCAGCTCCAGGTCCTGGGTTTTGGAAAGAGGCTGCAGGGAGGGGAGATGGGGGTGCTGTAGTTTGCTTCGTTGTGAGGGAGTGGTGAATAAGTTCAGGTACAGAGCTAAGACCACCCCTCACTGCCGTAGAGGCATCTGGTCAGACCTTTGTCAGTGGACAGGCCCAGACCCCCAGCCTTCCCTGGATGCAGCAGGCACAAGTCCCTGCTACAGGAGTCATGCTTTGCCCATGTTCAAGGCTTTAAACTTTCCAGAGCCCCTTCCTGCCCATGATTTCCAACTAGGAGGAAGGAGGCAGGGGTGCAATTCCCATTTCACAGGTCAAGCAGCCAAAGATAACTGAGACTGGGTATCTATCTTTCAGCATTTTACAACCTAACACTGTTTTATACCCTGGGAAGCAGGAGGCATTAGTAGCTCCAGGGAGAAACTGAGGCACAGAGGGAGGATGTGATCTGTCCAAGGTCATACAGGGAGATGTATGACCAAGGCTGGTGATCATTGGTCTCTTCTCTGCAGCCTTGACTTTCCGCAGTACTGCCCGACCGAGGAGCTGGGGGCCCCGGGGGGGAAGGGGCTCAGTGGTGGGTGCAGTCCTCTCTGGCAAGCTGCTTTCAGGCGCCCAGGCGGGGTTTCGGTGGCTGCGTTTCAGTAACAGCTGTGGTTTTGAACTGCTTCCCTCCCAGAGGAGCCCAAGTGCATCTGTCTGTAGCTCCCTCCCAGAGGGGCTCAGTGATCACAGCAAGAATGCTTCTCTTTTACTGAACGCCTCTCGTGTGCCAGGCACTGCTTGGCACTCTTCACATTCGTTATCTTGGCCAAGATGCCTGGGATGAGGCATCTTACAGATGAGGAAACTGAGCAGATACCTGAAGTCACTTGTCCAAGTCACAAGCCAAGAAGTAGGAGAGTCTCCTTGCATCAGACTCCCCTAAAGGCCTGCCAGGCCGAGAGCCCCCTCTCCCGTCAGATGCTCCATGGCCCCCAGCCCCGTGGGCAGGCCTGGCCCCCTGCTTACTCATTTTACCAGGGTGTGACCTGGAGCAGCTCCAAACCCAACCCTGGGTGTGGCTGCTTGGTTTGTGGCCAGGCTGCAAAGTGCAGGGTGAGTAGGATTTGTTGGGGAGCTGCTGTTTAAAGGGACCTCAGTGATGGCAACCAAGTTCAATGGCAGAATGAAGGCCTGAGCCCTGGTCTCCTCACTCCCTGTCTGGGGCTCTTTTCAGCACCCTCTGGGGAAGGCTTGGGATTCTCCTCTATGGAGTCCCTAGGCCAGCCAGGCACATCACATGATTCTGTCTCATTCCTATGGGAATCTGTGAAGAGGGTGGGATTCGGCTCAGTTCTTCCTTTTGTCTGTCTTTTCCAAAGTCCCCTGAGAACCATGAAAGCAAAGGAACATTTTAAGGAACAACTATCCAAGGCGGGGTCAGATGTGGAAATGCAGGCTATGGAGTGGTAGAGCTGGGATCTAGAACACTTGCTCCTACCCCTACCGTCTAAATTAGGACTTGGGGCTAACCTGGCTCCATTCCCTGTGTGACCTTGGGCAAGTCACTCCCCCTCCTTCTAGCCCCACCTTCGTCACCTTGCTGCCCGGAGTGGGGCTGTGTCTGGTGGTCTCCAGCCCTCTAACTTCTGGGCTGCCTGAGGAGGGAGCTTCACTCTTCTCACTTGGGGTTGGCTGGGGGAGCTTGAATCCTAACCAGGCCTTTAAGAAACAGCCAAGGAGGCTGCCTCCTAAGAGGGTCCAGGTTAGAGCCAGACTGGCCTTTGTTCTTGGCGCATCCCCGTCTCTTCAGCTTACCTCTAATCTTTCCCCTTGCTGGTGCCCCTGGAGCTTTAGTGATACCGGCTTCCTTGTGTGAGCAAAGCTCTTTGCTGCACTGTCCCTGAGTCCCTGGCCGGGGTGGAGCAGATTATGCCCATTTTACATGTGGGGCTCCAGAGGTCGACTGACTTGCTGAGCTCACCCAGCTAAGAAGGGGGGAGGCCTAGAGGGGAACCCAGGGGGGTCTGACTCCAAGGCCTTTGCTCAGGCTCTCCTTGGCCCACATCTTTCTGGACTTGTCCTCTGCCACCTCTGTTCTATAGGCTCAGGCCCATCCATGGGCTGTGCCCCAAGGTGTCAGGGAGATACCCTTGGATGAGGGACATTTTGCTGCTTGGGGACGCTTGAAGTCCTGGGTAAGGGGAGGGGCCATAAGGGAAGGGAGGGGACTGGTCTTTGTATATAAAGTAATGGCAGGTGGGCACAGCCAGGCCTTGGCTCAGGTTCCAGCAAAATCTGGGGGAATGTCAGGTTCCAGCAAAATCTGGGGGAATGTGTGCGAAAGAGCTGAGACGGCCTGGTACGTGGCTTTGGAGTCAGACAATCCTGAGTTCAAAGTCTGGCTCTGCCCTTTGTCTGTGTGACCTAGGGCTCATGGCTTACCCTCTCTGAGTCTCCATTTCTCTTCTGCCAAGAGTAATTGCCAGTGCTGATGGTGGAGGACTGATGAGCACGTGATAAGCCCAGTGCAGATACTCTGTTCAAGGTCCTTCCTTCCCCCCGCTTTGCAGGTAGTGAGGTTCTTCCTCGTGTTCTATGAACTCAGCAGGGCCTGGCTCCTGTCAGGTGGGGGAAGTGGATGGGGTTGGGGAGACTCTGGGTTGCCCCACCTGTGCCTCGGGTAGAACTCAGCTTGACTTCCTTCCTCTCGCTGCTCTTGGCATTCCTTCTTGAGGGATGGATGAAGGGTCCTGGGGTGGACAACTTCAGTCGGGATTGATAAAGACGTTGGAGCTCACCAAGTCCCAGTTACTCCAGCTGTTAAATGGGGCTTGGTGGTGCTGGGAGACTCAGTGAGGTGATGAATGTTGGGGCTCAGCCCAGGGCATGTGGAAGGTCTCAGTGAATGACTGGGCCTTTATCTAGAGACAAGATAGGTCACAGTCCCTAGAATCTAGGATCTCACCAGCTGAGAGGTTAAAAAAAGAATATTCCAGAGAGACTTCAAGAGGAATGAGCAGGGAAGTGTTTGGATCACGTCCAGGTCTGGATAGGGGTGGAAGAGAGGAGCATCATATCCAGGCTCCTCAAACCAAGGAATGGCTCTCCTGGACTGATTCCAGGAGGACTTCCTGGAGGAGGCAGGGGTGGGGAGGGGAGCTGATAGCCGGAAGAGCTGTCACCACTTCCCACACCTGTCTGCCCAGCTGTGCTCAGCAGCAGTTAGAAGTCTCAGCCCTGCCGAGCATGACCTCACTGTCAAAGGTTAAAATAGGCCTCTCTGTCCCAACCAACTTAGGGGTGTCTGGGTGATTAGGGGAGAGGGAGAGGAAGGAAATGGGCTCAGGGGCCCCCTGAAGGGTATGTCAAGGAAGAGGCCAAGCCTGGATTTCAGGGACGGGACTCTGCATTTTCTGAACACCTATGTGTGCTGAGCCACAGGCTGAGCACTTTGCAGGAGTTACCTCCTTGATTCCTCACAGTGGTCCCTCAAGGCAGGTGTTTTCTGCCTCATTTTACAGAGGAGGAAACTGAGGCTCCTAGATGTGGAGTACTTCCCCAAGTCACACACACACATACACACACACACACACAGTGAGCCCACGAAGGAGCTGGGAGAGTCAAGTCCAGGCATTCGACCTATGCCCCAGTGCCCCAGTACCCTAGCCCTGCCCCTGCCCAGCCCTAACAGGAGAGAGGCCCCTTCCGGGCCAGTGCAGCTTCTGGGCCTAATTGAAGCCTGGTGGCATGGGGTGGAGAAGAGCAGATGGGTCTGTGGTTTGATTTCCCCAGCAGGTGTTTCCCAAGCTTGGCGGGAACAGGCAGGGGGAGCAGGGGGACCTCAGCTGTTTGTCCTTGAGATGCAGGGGAAGGATTCATTGTCTGCCCCTCTCAGCAAAGAAAGAATGGCAAATGGAGTCTATTCAGGAGGCCCTGGGGCCCTTGAGCGGGAGCCCAAACATGGGGGTGGGGAATGTTGGCTCTGCCTCCCGATGTGGGCACCTCCCTGGGGTGTGGCACTGAGCCAGGAAGTCCCCTGGGCCGGGGCGGATGCCCAGCCCCACCCTGATAAGGGCCAGCTGTGGGGCTGTGATGGGCACCAGGGCCCGCCAGGCCAGCTGCTCTTGCACTTGGTGGGGCGGGAGGCTCTCCCCAGCCTGATGTGGTTTAGGTCCTACCCACTCCTTCCTCCCTGCATCCTCCTCTGGGCATGGGGGTTGGGGGACGGCAGATGTACTAGTGACCTTGGGGCCCATTATTAAGGAAACCTGAGCTCCTGGCCAGACTGGCTTCGGTGGTCTTCGGGTACCTGCACCTCAGGATGAGAGTGTCGTGTGCTCTTCAGAAAACAGGACCCCCTTTCCCCCCGAAAGCTCATTTGGCAAGCTGAACTGTTTCCTCACCACGGGCAGTGATGTTGCACCAGGACTGGTGGTAAACTGAGGCACAGAAAGCGGCTGCTGATGGCCTCCGTGCTTTGGCCCCAACTCGGGGAAAGACCAAAGGAGGAATGATTCTAAAACTTTGCCTCTCTCACTCCTCTCTCCAAGGCCAAAAGGAAGCTGGACCTGGAGGGGATCGGGAGGCCAGCAATCCCTGAATTCCGGACTCCCAAGGGCAAGTGCATTAGAGTGGATGGCCTCGCCAGCCCCAGAAGTAAGCCACGCTGGTGGGGCATCTAAGGGCAGGCTCGGGAGGGGGGTGGGGGGGCGGGCAGGGGCAGAGGGCAGCAACCCTACCCACATCAGCAGGAGTGATATTTGCAGCACACTTCCCGGTTTACAAAGTAGCCTCCTCTGTGTTCTGTCACGGGACCCTGCCGTGCTTAGCACTGTCCGCCTTTCACTGATGAGGCGGTTTGAGACTCAGAGCTTGAGTGACTTGCCCAAGGTCACACTGCTGGTGGGGGGAGGAGTGTCAGGACTCAAACCCAAGTGGGCCCTGAATCTTCCACACCATACACCACTCTCGTGACCAGAATGTGATGACTGGTGTTTTACTTAAGAGCTTACTCATTTTTATACATTATACAAAAGTTTATATTGAGTTCAGTCTGACCTTTTCTAAAAGAGAGAATCCAGCTCCAAGAGGAACAGGGTGAGCCAGGGTCTTTGTCCCACAGGCAGAGAGCTGAATGAGTGATTCCAAGGGAAGTGAAGCTTGGATTAGTCTAAACCGTGTGCCTCAGAGGTTAAGATCCAGAGGCCACCAGGGTGGTGTCTTTCGAAAGCTAAGCTGCAGGGAATTTCTCCTTCTGCTCCTGATATGTTCAATCAATATCCTGGTTCCAGCTGGAGTTTTAGAAATTTACGTTAGGGAGGAACAATAATTTGGGGAGTCAGAGACCTCATGAAGAAGGTTATGTCACTGGGTGCAAAGCGTGAGGGTCAGGAATTTGGGGGTCTGGACAGGGCCTTGGCCACTCCTCTTGTGAGCCTTAGCTGTAAAACAAAGCACAGCTGGATCAGGAATAATAGCAAGAGAGTTGGCCCTCCTGTTGATGGGTAGAAGCTGCCTGGAGCATTTTATTGAGGGATAGTAAGCGCACTGATCATTTAGTAGTGTCTGCCAAGGGTGCAAAACGTGACCCAAACCGCCTGTATGCCAAATGTGAAGGGGTCCTAAAGTCCCCTTCTGGAGGAATCTGAGGCTCTCCAAAACTCAGTTTCCAGAACTTCTTTGGCCGCTAGCTTGCTGTATGACTTGCAAGTCATTTGATTGCCAAAGTCCACTCGTGGTTTAAGATACTGCAGCTGGGATGTGGTCTTGTGACATCAGCCTCATTAAGAAAGGATCTTTTTTTCAGGAACCTGCCCCATTTGATATTATAGGACTGATTCCTTTCAGATAATCATTAGGCTACACGTGGAAAGAAAAAGCAAGTCGAAAAATGTGCTCGAATCCCAGCCCATCATTCCCTTTCTCTCCTTACCCTAATTCCAGATTCCTGGCATAGCTGGCAGGAGAGGGTAATAGTTAAGAAGAAAGACTCTGGAGCCAGGCTGCCTGGATTTAAATCCCAGCTTGGTCACTTTCTAGCTGAGTGAGCTGGGAGAGTTACTTTACCTGTCTGTTCCTCAGTAGTCTCATCCATAAAATGGGGATGGTTGTATAGCCGCTTGAAGGGTGTTGTAAGGATTGCATTTGTTGTATATGGAAAGTGCTTAGAACAGTGACCTACACACGGTATTTGTCGTTGGTGGTGGTGGGGATATTGATATGGCTGCCCTAAGCTATGGTGGAAAGGTGCTCTGAACCAGGAGTTAGAAGATGCTTGGTTTCCAGTCCTGCCCCTGCCCCTGACTGTGAGACCTTAAGCAAGTCATGTTCCCTCTCCGGGTATCAGGTTCCCCGCCTGGACGGGGTTGGCGAACGACCTCCTGCCTTGAAGTGCTCTGTAAACTGGAAAGTGGTTACTCCTGCGTTCATGTGAAGGGTGGTACTTAATAGGTCCGGATCCATGGATGAGGTTCCCCAGGCTGGCTCTCCCTGAGCAGTGACTGGGCCCCTTTTCCCCTTAGCACCCAAGTCCCCCGGAGAGAAGACTCGGTATGACACGTCACTGGGGCTGCTCACCAAGAAGTTCATTTACCTCTTGAGCGAATCCAAGGATGGGGTCCTGGACCTGAACTGGGCCGCCGAGGTGCTGGACGTGCAGAAACGGCGCATCTATGACATCACCAATGTGCTGGAGGGTATCCAGCTCATCCGTAAGAAGGCCAAGAACAACATCCAGTGGGTGTGAGTGCCTGTGCTGGGGCCGATGGCACCCATGGGTGCATGTGCTGTGGGTGAAGGGGGGGCGCTATCCAGCAGGTGTGTGTCGGGGCTGGAGCTGAGACATGTAAAGGCCTAAGAGGACCCAGACCCTCTTCAGTTGGGGATCCCAAGATTCTCCTCGTCTAGCTTAGGAAAGTCCCCTGGGAGCTGGGCTGTAGCAACTGATCCTCCTTCCAGCTCTGATATCTGAGTCCTCTGGGCTCCTTTCCTCCTACAAATATCAGAGCAGACCTGCAGAGAACCCAGGCAAGGCATCTGGGGGAGGCTGGGGTGTAGCGTGGACCGTGTTGGGAGCCTCTCAAAAGTGGGGTCAGGCTTGACTTGTGTCTTTTCCCTAGCCCAACCCCCGAACTTCAGGTTCCATATTCTTAGCAGCTCCCTGGAAGGCAAGACGCCACTGACGTGCACAGCCCAGGGAGCGCCGTTGTAGCCCACACCAGTGACCCCATTCTGGGGTTTCGCACCGTCTGTGTGGGTCTGCGCTGCAGCCCTGGGATTGGGCCCCTGGATGTGGCCTGAGACTGACACTGGGGGACTGCTCTGTTCCCAGAGGCAGGGGAATGTTTGAAGACCCCACCCGGCCCGGGAAGCAGCAACAGCTGGGGCAGGAGCTGAAGGAGCTGATGAGCACGGAGCAGACCTTGGACCAGCTCATTCAGAGATGCTCTCTGACCTTCAAGCACCTGACCGAGGACAAGGCCAACAAGAGATATCCTGTGTGGTGGGGGGAAGCGGTCAGGGAGCAGGGCCCTGTTGCATGCTCATAGCCATCCTGAGTCTGGATAGAATCTTCCGGCAGGGGGAGCTCGCTCACCCTCGGGGATCGGCATGTCTGTTTCTGCCTTCCTCCGTGGCTTTTCCTCACAAGTCTACCGAAGCTACTCATTAGAAAAGTAAGTCCAGTTCTTTAAACCTGGAAAACGGAGGGACGCCTGGGTGGCTCAGTTGGTTCATCGGCTTTTGGCTCAGGTCATGATTCCGGGGTCCTGGGATCGAGCCCCATGTCGGGCTCCTTGCTCAGCGGGGAGTCTGCTTCTCCCTCTCCCACTCCCCCTGCTGGTGCTCTTTCTGGCTCTCTCTGACTAATAAATAAATAAAATCTTTAAAACAAAACAAAAATCGGGAAAATGGAGAAAAGAAAGAAACAGTTGCCACCCTAACATAGCCCTTGTTTCTTATGCATACACAGGGTACGTGTTATTAAACACGGTGTGAGCTGTTATACACAACGTTTTATATCCTGCTTTCCTCTACTTAGTATATCACCATAGACAGGTTTTCTTTTTTTTTTTAAGATTTTATTTATTTATTTGACAAGAGAGCAGGAGAGAGAGTGAGAGAAAGCACAAGCAGGGGGAGCTGCAGAGGGAGAGGGAGAAGCAGGCTCTCCGCTGAGCAGGGAGCCTGATACAGGGCTAGATCCCAGGACCCAGGGATTGTGACCTGAGCGGAAGGCAGACGCTTAACCAACCGAGCCACCCAGGCGCCCCTGCCATAGACGGTTTTTTGTTTGTTTGGTTGGTTTTTTTAAAGATTTTATTTATTTTATTTGAGAGAGAGAATGAGAGAGAGAGAGCACAAGATGGGGGGAGGAGGTCAGAGGGAGAAGCAGACTCCCTGCTGAGCAGGGAGCCCGATGCGGGACTCGATCCCGGGACTCCAGGATCGTGACCTGAGCCGAAGGCAGTCGCTCAACCAACTGAGCCACCCAGGCGCCCACCATAGACGGTTTTTAACGATGCTGCAAATCCTCCCTATTTGCTTGATCCACATGGAATTGTTGCTATTGGGCCATTTTTTACAAAAACAGCAACCTCATGTGTTTTAACCTCATATTTAGAATGATTTGAGACGGTCCTGCTCAGACTACATTCTGATTTGTTGAGAAGGCCTAGAATCAACATTTAGATCAATTCGAGATGTTTGCTTTTATAAAGCAGGATTGTGATGAATATCTTTGTATAGAGAACATTTTCCTATGTTTTTTTACTTATTTCCTTAGATTCCTAGGATTGAAATTACAAACATGGATTTTGCTAAGGCTTTTCATACTCTTTTCCCAAATGGTTCCACCATCTCATTGGTTTTTGGATCTCACTTTGTATTTTTGGAAGGATGCTAGGCATTGTGAGAAATATAAAGAAATAAGACAGGTCTTACTACCCGCTCAGAGATAATGATCTAGTCTGAGAGGTAAAGTCTTTTTTTTTAAGATTTTATTTATTTCAAAGAGAGAGACAGCACAAGCAGGGGGGAGGGGGGGAGGGAGAGGGAGAAGCAGACTCCCTGCTGAGCAGGGAGCCCAGCATGGGGCTGGATCCCAGGACCCCAAGATCATGACCTGTGCCGAAGTCAGACGCGCAACCGACTGAGCCACCTAGGCGCCCAAGATAAAGTCTAAAAAATTGACAGGAGGCAGCTTTTTAAAAATTGGTTAAAAAAATGATTTATACTCCCATTTGTTTTCTAAAGGGATCCAAGGTAGCTTATGATACTAAAAGAACAGGTTATCGTTTTTGGTTATCTCTAAGCTGTGTAAGGAATGAGAAAGACAGGATGCCTGAGTGGTTCAGTCGTTAAGCGTCTGCCTTCGGCTCAGGTCATGATCCCAGGGTCCTGGGATCGAGCCCCACGTCAGGCTCCCTGCTCTGCGGGAAGCCTCCTTCTCCCTCTCCCACTCCCCCTGCTTGCGTTCCCTCTTTCGCTGTGTCTCTCTCTGTCAGATAAATAAATAAGATCTTTAAAAAAAAAAGGGAATGAGAAAGACGTGTTCCAAGGCTTCGCCCGGCAGGCTAGGGGTTTGAATTTTGACCGGTTACTTCTCTTGACTCTCCTGCCACTACACTGGCCTATGTGACTTACCAGGACATCCGTGCCGTTGGCAACTTTAAGGAGCAGACGGTGATCGCAGTCAAGGCCCCTCCACAGACAAGACTGGAAGTGCCCGACAGGAGCGAGGTGAGAGGGGGAGCATTTGGTGGAGAGCAGATTATGGAGGGTCCCAGGCTGCTCTGTAGGCTCTGTCCCTGGCACTACCTGGCCACAAGCTTCCCTGAACTATTCTGGCGCCCATAGCAAGATTGGTGGTCTCTGAGCTGGGGCAGCGATAGCAGGAGCTAGAAAGGACAACAGACATCAACTACTGTCCCCAGAAAATCTCCGCTCTTGCCACCTTTCTGCACCCACCAGCCCCTGCACTCCTGTGCCGACACACCATGGTATTAGTGCTCACCATAATCCTTTCCTGCTAATCATGCTCACCTAGTTAAAGACCCAAATTCTTACTACTTCCCAATGAGACTTCTGTGCTCTGACCTCGCCAGCCTCTTCTCGCATGCTGCCCTACTGTGCCTTTGACTCAGCCACACTGACTTCTCTACAGTGTCACCACCACACTAAGCTTGTCCCCAGTATAAGACCTTCTGCTGCTACTCTCTCCAGCTGAAATGCCCTTCCCTTTTTCTGCCTGGTTTACTGCTATTCGTCCTACAGGTCTCAACTCAAAGGTCACTTCCTCAAAGTAGCCTTCCCTGATTACACCCCCCTCCCCCTCCCGATTTCATAACTACCTGTGGTTTTCTACTGCACTTAACCTCCGTTTGCTGGGAGATATTGGTGATTATGTCATTATGTTCTGCTTCATCTATTAGAGAGTAAGCTCCACAAAACATGCTGCACTCCTGTGGTACCCCCAGCCCAGAGCCGGACACATATAAGGACTCAAGAAATAATTTGTTTAGGGCGCCTGGGTGGCTCAGTTGGTTAAGCGACTGCCTTCAGCTCAGGTCATGATCCCGGAGTCCTGGGATCGAGTCCTGCATCGGGCTCCCTGCTCGGCGGGGAGTCTGCTTCTCCCTCTGACCCTACCCCCTCTTGTGTTCTCTCTCTCTCTCTCTGTCTCAAATAAATAAAATAAAATCTTTTTTTTTTAAAAAAAAAGAATTTGTTTAATGGAAGGACATTAAGATAAATGGGGCCCCACCCCTGCCTTGAAGGAGTTCAGGATCTAGTGGGAAAAAGACCCAAGCAAGCAGTCATGCTGCCATTTATGGACTTAAGATGCTTTGAGGGCCCAAAGAAAGGACAGTTGGAGGAAGAGCCCATAGATGGTTACAGGTGTTGGGTCCTAAAGAATGAACAGGACTTTTGTCAGGGGAAATAGGGGTAGACAGAGGGCCCTGCAGGTGAACGGGGGAGGAGACTTGAGTGCGTGTTGGAATGGCAGGTGGGTATTGATGGTGGGAGGGAAGAAGCAGGGTGAGAAGGCCAAGTATCAGGACTCTTGGTTATAAGTAACAGAAAGCCAAGTCCAATGGCTTAAGTCAGGGGTGGGGGGTAGAGAGGACTGTGGGGAACCAAGTGACAGGTGCAGGGGGAAGGTTTGGAAATTGCAGGCAGGGCTAGATGCAGGAGCTCCAACTATGACTTTCGCTTCACCCCGTGTTCTCCGTCTTTCTCTACCATTCTCTGTGCTGTTTCCATTCCCAGGCGGGTTCCCCTCTTCCAGTGGCAAAGGTAGCTTTCATGATCCCAGCTCAGCGACCCCCTGTGGGACGGAGCTTTCATTTCCAAGTCCTGCCCGAGTCCTGGGTCTGACGCTAGGGGACCGAGCTGAGTCATGTGCTGCCCTGAACTAGTCACCATCATTGTGACTTTCCCAGCCTGCACCCCAAGCTCACCCACTGGAGTTGGGAAAGATGTTGTCCCCCTAAACTACATGACTTGAGAGTGGGAGAGGAGTGGTTTCCCAAAGGAAAATCAAGATACTCTCCCTCAAAGAAGAGAGCCTGGGGGCCAGACAGGCAGAAAGAGCAGATGCCCTCCACGGTCAGATGGTGCAGGTGTTGGGGCCCAGCTCGGGAGTTGAGCTTGCTCACATGGATGGTGGGAGCCCTGGGTGTCCCCATCCATACACTCCACCCCATGAGTCAGTGCCCAGCTGCCCAGAGCCATGACCTGGCTTCTCTTCTTCCTCTAGGAGAACCTGCAGATATATCTGAAGAGCACCCAGGGGCCCATCGAAGTCTACCTGTGCCCAGAGGAGGTGCAAGAGCCGGACAGTCCTGCCAAGGAGCCCCTCCCGCCGACCTCCACCCTTGGCCCCAGCCCTGACGCCACCCAGCCCAGCAGCAGCACTGACCCTGGGATGACAGAACCCATGGCATCCCCAGGTAGGACCCTCTGTCCAGAGGGACAGGAGGTAGGGAGAGAAACCAGCCTTAGAGTTTCCTTTTCCGTGGCAACATTGGTTGGGCAGCGAAGGGACAGCTCACACTTTATAAAGGAAGTGCTTGTGGTCTTGTCTCAGTAGGGGGGCTGATGTGCTCTGGGGCGGAGGGGTCCTGGCTTTGAATCCAGTCCATGCTTCCAGTTACCAGCTGTGTGACCTTGGACAAGTCACTTAACCTCTCTTTGCCTTAGCCTCACCTGTAAGTTGGGTGCAGTAACTCACGGTATCTACTTCGTAGGTTGTGAGGATTGAGTGAATTCGTATAGGTAAAGCCCTTGGGACAGTGCCTCACAGTAACTGCTGACTATTCTTGTCACTGTTAACCTCCTACCACTGCTAGAACCACACTGCTATGCTGACTACCAACAGCAAAGCTCCTGGCCCTCACTAAGCCCGCAGTAAATGGGAACTACAGATTTTTGAAGGAAGGCTCAACTAAGATTTTTTAAATCACAACTATGTACTAGGTACATCTATGTTATCGCGTTGCTGTTCACAGCAATTCTTGTAGGCATTATCGTTCCCGGTTTAGAGATGAATAAACTGAAGCAGAGAGGTTGATGTGACTCACCCAAAGTCTCCTAGTTGGGAGGTAACAGAACTGTGTCTTGACCCTCAGTCCCCACACTCCTAGCCCAGTCCTCTCTCCATGATACTTGGAACAGATCAAGGAAAGGGCTCCTGAGCGGAGCAGCTCCCCCTTGGCTGGGAGGTGGACCATACAGCTAAAGCTGGCTATACCTGGCAGGAAGTAGCATGAGGTAGTCACCAGGGAGCAAAGAGGTGGGAGAGGTCCCAGGGAAGGAGTTCAGAAGGAGTAGAAATGGGAGCCTGGGAAGGCCCTTCCCCCAGGATGGTTTTTGCCCTTTACTGGGATCACACATCAGGTCGGACTGACAGATCCTTCGAGGCTATGGAGGCCAGTGTTCAACTTTCTGTTTTTTTAGCCGCAGAATTCCCTTAATTAGAACTCTGGTGTTGAAACAAACCAGAGCTCAAACTGGTCTGACGGAAGAGGCTTGGTGGGGTGTCCACAGAACACAGGCTGGATTCCATTTCTGTAACTCAAGGGTCCACAAACTATTGCCTGCAGGCAAAATCTGGCCTGTTTTTAAGTGGCCCATGAGCTAAGGATGGTTTTCATATTTTTCAAGAGTTGGGGGGCAAGAAGAAAGTGACTGTGTGACAGAGACTGTAAGTATCCTGCAAGTCCTAAAATACCATCGGTCCTTTACAGAAGTTTGCTGAGCCCTGATCTAACTCAGCCCTTCATTTCACACATGAATAAGCTGAGGTTGAGAGAGGGTGAGTGACTTCCTTAAGGTCACACAGCAAGTTGGAGGCAGAGCTGGAACAAGAGCCCAGACCCCCAGCTCTTCTCCCGTGATCTCTCCTGTGTCCCGGTCTGGTCAAGGGACACAGGCTTCTCCCTGCACCAGCCATCTGTCCCTCCAGGCCCCTCCCAGTGCCTATCTCCCATGCCAGACCTGTGCCCCACCCTGCTTACCCTCCTGCTTCGCTCTGCCTTCTCACGCCACTGTCAACATGTGCACAGTTCTCCCAGTTAGAACCACTTTCACTTCAGATGTCCTTGAGACCGGGGGCAGGGGTGGGGGACCCTCCAGCATAAGCAAGGGTGAGGTTTTTGCCTCGGTTTTATGGATCAGTTGTGCTCCCAGAAGGAGTAGAGACTGACAGAGTGCTTGGTGGTGAGGCCAGCCCAGGAGCCAGCTCTGTGCCGTGGGTGCCCCTCTCCGCCCTTGCCATGTGGTCTCTTAGTGATGTCCTTGCCAAAGGGAACAGAAGGACATTTCCTGGAAGGTGTACACACTCACATACCCTCTCACACATTCTCTCACACACACTCACACACCCTCTCTCACACACACTCACACACCTCACACACACTCACACACATTCTCTCACACACACTCACACACACTCACACACTCACATGCACACACTCTCCCACACTCACACACCTTCTCTCACACACACTCACATACTCTCACATGCACACCCTCACACTCTCAACACACACTCACACACCTCTCTCACGCGCACACCTTCACATTCTCACACACACTCACTCTCTCACACACTCACATACTCTCACACGCTCACACTCTTACACACATACTCACACACTCTCTCTCTCTCACACACACTCACACACCCTGTCTCACACACACACACTCACACACTCTCTGTCTCTCTCTCTCACACACACACACACACACACACACGCTCCATGTTCTGGCCTGAAGCAGAGCCCTTTTGAGGTCTGAGCACCAGGAGCCACACCCAGTCTGGGGACCCGGGTTCTGGCATCACCAGGGGGAATCACTAACCCCTTGGGGCCTCAGTTTCTCTCATTTGTCACGGAGGGGCTTCGGACAAGGGTTGTCTCTAACACCTCTCCAGGCTCTCACACTCTGAGGTAAACGTAAGTGTCGCTACCACACAGGAGTTGACACTGGGAGACGGGGGCTTGTGTTTGCACCTTGCCTACCATGACTTGGTGACTGGAGGCGGGTCACTTCGGCCCCTCAGAGCCCCTGTCCTCACGTCTCTAAAACCGGGACCCTTAAAACTCCCTCACGACTCCTGGGTGGGTTACAGGCAGTGAGACAGCGTGAATGTGATTTTTTAAAAAGCGTATGCGAACCGGGCGCCTGCTCTGTGTGGTTTGGAGATTGAGAAGTGAGTCTGAGCCGTCGGAGTGTGGCGCAGGCCCGGATCCGGGAAAGAGCCGCTCACTCCTGGGTGTGATAAGCGCGCGAGAGCGAGGGCCGCCCGCGGCGGAGGCTTCCGTGCACGCTGTCCTTGCTGTTCGGCGCGTCGGGGAGGTGGTGCCTTATTTTTGCTCCCGAGAAAACTGAGGCTCCGGGTCGTACAGCTGGTGCGGGTGGGGCTGGGGTCCGAGCCCAGGGCCTCCCCCTCTTCCCAAGCCAGAACCCCTGCAGGCCTCAGCAACCCGCTACAGAAACATGCCATTCTTTTCGTTCCCATACATTTAATTGGCTCCTTTGAGCCTCAGTTTCCTCATCTGTAAATAGGGGTCCCCGTATTGCCTCTTGTGGGGCCACTTGAGGAGGTGAAACACGCCTCTCCTTGAGAGCAGAGCCGGCCATGGTAAGCCCTGGGTAAACCGGAGCTCTTCTTACTGAGAAGGGTTCTCCCCCTGCACCTATCACTGAATCCTCTCAGCAACCCTGCGAGGTGGGGAGAATCGTCCCCATTTTTAGAGGCGAGGAAGCCGAGGCTCGTCCACGTTAAGTCACTTGCGCACAGATACGTGGTGAGTAAGAGGCTGATCAGGCAGGCAGGCACACCAGCATGGCTCTATTTTCCAAGGAATACTTGGTTGGGGTTTAAGGCATCAGGATATATTGGGGGGGATTTCCGGTGCCCTATTCTCGTCCCTAGGTAGGAAGGCACCCTCCGACCTCTAAGGAGAAATGGACTTGGTGTGCTCGAAATAGCCGAGAGGCTGTTTAAATAAAATCTTTAAAAAAAGGAAAGAAACAGCCAAGCCAATGTAGCTGGAGAGGCTGAGTGTCAGTGGAAGGAGGCGGGACAGAGGGAGCAGAAAGGCAGGCAGGCGCTAGATCGTGCAGGGCCTTCTCAGTGCTGGTCAAGCCATTTTTAAACTAGAGCGCAAGTGTCGCAAGGTGACTGGTAAGAAAGCCCCAGCAGCGGTCTCGGTGGGGACGATGGGCTAGACCAGGATCACAGTGGTGGAACTGAACGGGCAGTTTGCAGAACTCATGTGGTTGTAGAAATGACAGATCTCACTGCTGGACTGGGGGCTGGGGAAAGGGCAGAGTTTTTGTTTGTTTGTTTGTTTTTTAAGATTTTATTTATTTGTTTGACAGAGAGAGTGAGAGAGCACAAGAAGGGGGAGGGCAGAGGCAGAGGGAGAAGCAGGCTTCCCGCTGAGCAGGGAGCCCGAGGTAGGGCTCAATCCCAGGACCCTGGGATCATGACCTGAGCTGAAGGCAGACGCTTAAGCGACTGAGCCCCCCAGGTGTCCTGGAAATGGCAGGATTCTGTGTGATTCTCGGGCCTTTTGGCTTAGGCAGCTGAGTGGTTGGTGGTCCATTAACTGAGTGGGGAAGACCAGGAGTTTGGTTTTGACATGCTAAGTTTTGGGGTAGCTGAGACATCCAAGCAGAGGTGTTGCAGGAGCCCAGAGCTCGGGGGTGAGGTCTGTGCCAGAGGCATCTGCTGCGCGTGGTAGGTCTGAGAGGCTTAAAGCCAAGGGGTGGCTGTGGTTGCCTGAGAAGATGTGCAGCCAGAGAGAGGAGTCTGAGGGTGGAGCCCTGGGGCCTCAAGGGCTTAGAAGTGAGGGAGAGGAGGAGGGTCCAGCAAAAGAGACAGAAGAGAAGCAGCCAAGGAGGTAAGCAGAAAACCAGGAGAATCTAGTGTACTGGAGCCAAGTGAAGGTGTTTCCAGAAGGTGTGAATAACGGCGCCAGATTCTGCTGGAGGGTCAAATAAGATGAGGCTGAGCCCTGACCATTGGGTCCAGCAATAGGAGGTCACGGGCTGAGTGGCTTTGTGGGGACAGCCCCCAGGTTGGAGTGGGTTGAAGAGTGAATCGTGGTGGGGAAGTAGAGGGTGAGCACAGGCATTCTTGAGAAATTTTGCTATGAAAAGGAGCAGTCCACTGGGCTGGGAATTCGAGAGGGTCATGAGGTCAGGGAGGATGCTTTTTAAAGATAGGAGTCATTAGAATGTGTCTGCCTGATGATGGGCACGATCTTCGAGAGAGAGAAATTGGTGATGCAGGAAACAGAGGATGTGGTTTCCGGGGCCAGAGCCTTGAAGGTGAGAGGGGCGAGGGTTTTTTGTTTTTTTAAAGATTTTTATTTTTAAATAATCTTTACACCCACTGTGGGGCTCAAACTCACGACCCCGAGATCAAGAGTCGTGTACTTTTCCAACGGAGCCAGCCAGGTGCCCCAAGTGGGTAGGGTTTGGAGAGCAAGAGATCCCACCTCCTTCGAAAGGAGGGAGAGAGAGTGTGGGACAGTGAGGGCAGTGGCTACAGCTGTGTCAGGAGAGGGAGAGTGTCGCCTGCCATTGGGTGTGGGGCAGGTTAGGAGAGAAGAGGGTGCACAGTGGTCCAGAGAACGGGGGAGGGCTGTTCCTGTGCTCCGAGGTCTGACCAGAGGCTTTTGGGCACCCAGTCCAGGTGTGACCTCTGTCTGCTTGTCTCCAGGGCCAGCGCTGACTCCCCAGCAGGTCCCGCAGCCGCCAGCGCCAGCGCCCCCGCCCCCGCCGCTTGTCCCCCTGGAGGCCACCGACAGCATGCTGGAGCTGCCACACCCACTTCTGCAGCAAACCGAGGACCAGTTCCTGTCCCCAAGCCTGCCATGCAGCTCTCCCCTGATCAGCTTCTCCCCGCCTTTGGACCAGGACGACTACCTGTGGGGCCTGGACGGGGGTGAGGGCATCAGTGACCTCTTCGACTCCTACGACCTTGGGGACCTGCTGATTAATTGAGTGGCCCTGCCTGCCCCCAGCAGCCTGCCCCTGGCTCTACCTCCTCGCAGACTGACAGGCCCTCTGCTCGTGCCGGGACGTGGGACACAAGGTGCTGCCCTTGGGGTCCAGGGCCTCTTCTCTTTCTTACCCCCCAGCCAGCCAAAGCTGTCTCGGCAGGGGGTACATAGAGGATTTGGGTGAGGAGTGTATCAGGGGTTGGGTCCTCTCTTTCCTCATGGAAGCTGGGCCTGGGAAGGCCCATCCAGCTTCTGACCTCTGACCTCTACACGAAGGGCCACAGGTGAGGCAACCAGGTCCAGGGAAAGGCCCTGCCCCTGCCTTTCAGGGGGGAATTAGGACCCTGAACTTATCAAGAAGCACTTAATGCCTTTGTATTTATTTCAGGTTGAGTTTTGTTCGTTTGTCTTCCCTGAGTTTTTAGCAGGGAGATCGCTCTAGTTTCTAGTAAGACTTCTCAGACGGGCCCAGTGCTGTCCATGGTCCGAGGGCAGGCCAGGTCCCCGATTTCCCCGCAGCAGTGGGCCGGGTCTCTGGGGGGCCGTCCAGTCTGCTAGAACGCTACTTGCACTTCGGCCTCGTAATTCTAGTAAGTGGTGGCTGCAGGCCCTTTGGCTTCTCCTGCTTTTCATCTCCAGCCGAGGTGCCAGCCTTGAATTCCTGGTCTCCTCTGTCCAGAGATGGTTGCAGGGAGCTCCATCCCAGGGGAGGCAGCATTGAGGCTCCAGGTGTGGAGACCCACTTCTATGGAATTCCCTACCTCTCCGTCCCCTTAGAACATGAAAAACGACCCTCCAGGGAGTCAGCACTGAACCCCCCCCCTACCCCGCCCGGGGGGAAACAGGGACAGGAATGTGGAAGCAGTTATAAGGGCTGTCTAGGGCACCCTTCCTCCATTTGTGACACTTGCTTGGGACAGGGGCTGTCTTACCCTGAGCACCTGGGAGGGAGTGGCAGCCCCCGAATAGAGACAGGTGGGATTAAAGCGAGAAACTGCCAGAAAGCACCGCTTCTGTTAACTGCTGGTATCAGCCTCCCCTTCCCTGGAAGGATTTTTTTGTTTATTGAAGGGAGTAATTCTTTAAGGATCTCCTCTCCCCCCAGCAGCTCTCACACAGACCTCCCCCCAACCCCACCACCCCAGGACAGAGGTGACCAGGACTTGGTGGCATTTTGGCTCCTTTTGTCACGGGAATGCCGAAGGGCTGACAGGGAGGAATCTTCATTGCAGACCAGACCTTGGCAGCTGATGGGAAGATGGGCTTATGTCACCTCCTCAGGCTTAGGGTCCTGAGAAAGTCTGTTGCCCTCCCCCACAGAGACTTGACCATCCCACAGTGTCTCTGAAGCCCACTTGGGTGTGGGGGAGGGGGTCAGCTCTCCTCCCCACCCAACCTGGGGCGGGGCTACTCTGGGCCGCACCAAGACTGTGCCCTCTGGAGAGAGGCAGCCAGGGATGGTGGTCTAAGAGGCCCACCACCCACCCTCAGGGAGCTAGGTTTCCTCAGGGGCTCAGCTGGGCAGCACTTTTTTTTTTTTTTTTAAGTTTGTAGCATTAAGTTGGTTTTAAACATGAAGTTGGCCTCATGGGATGGCTCCTGAGCTGCCCTAAAGCTGGGGAGGTGGGCTTCTTTGGGGGTGGGGTCTGATGTGAGCTAATGCCTACATGGGGACAGTTGTGCCTTGTCATTTTCACAACTTCCCGGGGCCCTAACTGTGCCCTCTCAGGAACAGATGCCCAGCTCTGGAAACAGGGCAAATTTTGTATGCTTTACGGAGATGCTTTTGGTCTCCTCTCCCCAGATACTTACAGGGGTCTCATCAGAAGCCTGTTTGGAAGCCCACTATGTCTAGGGTCAAGGGACTACCTTGGCCCTTGGGCAGGGGACAGGAATGTTGCATTGAATCTGGTTGGGGGCATGTGGGGCCAAGATGGCCTTGCTATTCTGAGGTCTCTGGGCTGCCATTTAGCCATGTCCCATCTCTGAAGACAGAGATGTTTGACTTCCATGCCTTTGGTTCTGTCTAGAGTTTTCTCCCAGAATTAAATCAGAGAAAAGGGAGAAGAGGCCTGCAGGACTCACCGGGAATGGGTTTAATAGTAAAATGTGGCCAGAATTCCAGCTCCTTCCCCAAATGCAGGGCCACAGTGCTGGACAGAGGGGCTGCCTCTTGGGTCCATGGCCTATACCTTGAGCAGGCTGACCCTGTTCTGTGCTATCCCCTCCAGACCCTGCCTGGCCCTGGGGCTGGACTGCCCAGGCCAAGCCTCAGGCTGGGGGCAGAGGAGTGACAAGCTCACACCTCTTTTTCTTGCCAGTGACACTTGAAACATCTCAAGAGTTCCATCAAGTGCTTTAAGAATGCCTTTTGGATGGTATTTCCTTTAGGGGCCATGTAAACTTTAGAACTAGGGTGGAAGAAAAGCCACTTTTCTTTCTGAGGTACATGATTTCTGCCAGGACATTTCCCAGCCCACCGGCGGCCCCCAAGTCACCTGTGTCCCCCGGGGCACCAGAGGCTTGGGGGCTCCAGGGAACTCAGTAGCATTAAGTTGTGCAGTAGAGTTGGAGGTTCGGAGAGATTTCTTAAAACCAGGGCCATGCTCCCATGTCCCTTCCCATGAAAAGTGTTCGCTAGACCAGTGTGGTGCCCTTTCTCTGCAGCAACGCTGTGGTTGGACTGGTGTCGCTGTGGGAGGACGAGGGGGACAGTGAAGCTCAGAAAGCTGGTTCTGGGACGGTTTTGCTTGACTTTGCTTGACTTCCCTCCCCGAGTGTCCTCAGCCTCAGTTTTGCAGTGTTTAGTTCCTAGTAAAAGCGTTTGGGTGTTCCTGCATCTGAGCGTCGTGTGGCTTTAGTGCATTTGAAGCGAAAGCCTTTTGGGGTTGTTTGCAAACAGCTGTCTGGTTCTCATCATTGTGTCCCAGGGTCCCCACCTCATCCTGGGACCCTGTTCTCCCACAAGGACCCTTGGTGACCAGAAGCCCAGCCAGCCTGCAGGCTCCCGGATGAGGGAAGAAGCCTTGTGTATGGCAGATGTGTCTCGAGGGTGATTAGGCCCAAGGGCACCTGGTCCCTGTGCCAGGACCCTATACAGGTCACTTCCCTCTGGTCTGGTTTTGCCCCAGGTCCTGCCTTGATGAGCACCGTGTAAACCTCCTTGTGTTGTGATAATCGGGCATTAAATGACAACTCTGGACACCTTGATTCTTGTGCTTTCTGAAGGTCATTACCAAGTGTGGGTCTGGTCCTCCCAGGTCAAATGTGGGGACTATCCTGACCACCTGGCTGATTTCTCCCCAGAAACAGCCTCCCTTTCCCACACTGGCTTATTACCAAGCCTGAAATCCCACCACTAAGACACTGAAAAGTTCACAGCACGGCACCTGGATCGAAAATGTGAGCGCCTCCCCTGCTCTGTCTCCATCACCTCTCAGCTAGACAGTTTGGAAAGCTTGCGACCCATTCTTCTCCATTGCATCCGTTGTATCAGTGGTTCTCAAAGCGGGGTCCTCAGACCAGCATTACCCAGGAACTTGTGAGAAATGCATATTCTCAGGCCCTGCCCCAGACCTTCTGAAACTCAGGGTGGGACCCACAGTCTGTGGCTTAATGAGCCCTTTAGGAGATTCTACCGCAGCTGAAGTTTGGGTACTCATACCCCCCACCACCCCAGAGTTCCTTCGAAAATGCAGTTCTGATCATGTCTCTCCTGTTTAATGGATGGCTCCTCTCTGCCCTCTGGCCCCTTCAATTGGCATAAAAGTCAATTTACAACATGACTAGTGGCTTACCTTACCTCTCCAGCCTCACTGGCCACTCCATCCCACCATCCATAGCCACACTGGACTTCTTAGTTCCTGAAAATATGTTTTTCCTCTGTGGGGCCTTTATACATACTGTTCACTTCACCCACCATGCCTTTCCCTCCATTTCAATGGAGTAGGTGCCTGCTTATTCCTTAAGACCCTGTTCAAGAGCCTTTTTTTATAGAGTTTACTTAGATACTAACATGTAACCATTAATATTTTGTACACAGATATGGTTATTTATGGGTTATTGAATACCTACTATGTGTTAGGCACTGAGGAGTTAGAAGTAAATAAAAACAGTCCCCATCCTTAGGATGTTCATAAGACATAGACGTATAAAAATACAATTACAAATAACGTGGTAGTTGCAGTAACGTACATTATGGGAGGGGGAGCGTGGTTGTTAGGGAAGCCTTCCTGGAGGAGGTGATGCCCAAACTATGACTTAAAGGATAAATAGGAGTCACCTAGAGTTAGGGCATACGGGGGACAGGAGACGTCCCTTCCAAGCAGAGCAATGAATATGTTCTGTCCTGTCGTTCAGCAGAGAGGAGCGGTTCATGGAGCACTGTCTGTTTGCCCCAACTCTGCCAGTTTGGTGCTCTTGCCCTAGGAAAGCCCACTGAGCCAAAGAGGTTGGGACACAAACCCTGAGGGCAGTGGGAGAGGGGGCCTATGTTGGAGGGTCCTGTTAGACCATTAGGGGACTATGACTAATGAGAAGGGTGTGGAACTTGACACCAAGAAGTCAGTTTACGTGGAAAGCATGAAGACAACCTCATCCAGCTAAGTTAAGCCAGGTCTGAAGCTTGGGACATTAGTGAAGACAAGGGAACATAAAAGAGATGTCATGTATTGAGCTTTATGGTGTCTGGGCCCAGTGCCTTGCTAAAGCCATCACACATCATAAACTCCCTGAATTTATGAAGTCAGTGTTATTATTATCACCACTTTATAGAGAAAGAAACAGTTTAAATGAATTCTCAGGTAACCCTCATACTTAGCTGCTGGGAATGTAAAAGGCTACCGCCACTTGGAAAGCATTTTGTCAGCTTCTAAAAAAGATAAAACTACCAGGGCGCCTGGGTGGCTCAGTCAGTTAAGCGTCCGACTCTTGATTTCGGTTCAAGTCATGATCTCAGGGGATCAAGCCCCACGTCCAGCTCTGTGCTCAGCAGGGAGTCTG